AGGTGAACATTTATTTATTTGCGCCATTTTTTCCCTAAAATATTATATAGTTTTATAGGAGTAGGTTTCATAGAGTTGGCAAATAAATTTTTCATAAGTTTGTAGGTACAGACATCTGTTGTATCGACCGAAATTAAGAAATATATCGTGATATAAATTTTGTCCATATCGTCCAGCCCTACGCTTGAGGTATTCGGCCAATCACAACGCACTGGATAGCTGGCCAATCAGCGTACACCTCGCTTTCAGACCGATGAGTTTTGTAAAAATCGACGCGTTTCAGAAAAGCGGGGCATAGAGGAGAAACAATAATGTACAGTATGTGGAAAATTTGTTTTTTGAACCTTAAACCGCATAAACGCATTGCATTACACCAAATACACAACATAATGTTCTTTTTAGCAACGTCATATGACCCCTTTAATACGGACAGGAGGAGAGTTCAGCTTCACTGGAGACGCACGATCGACAAACTTTAAACTCATGATTTCAAATTATGCTGCGCTTCATGCTTTTGACCAATGTCATATTCATGTCATTTTCACTGTGTGCTGTATTCAAAATGAGTGTTACCTTGGCTTTATTTGAAAAAAATGTGATTCCCAATGCACACAAACTTCCCAGAATACTGAGTGCCCTGTTGGTTACAGTGTTTACTTACTTTAATTATATTTTTATTAAATATTTATTTGTGAAAAATACTGTCATTTAATGTATAAGCATGTTTTTTTTACACTTATTTTTTTTAATCCATTTTCAAATGATTTCAAATTTCTTAAATTAAATAAAATAAAATTTGTATCGGCTTTACATCGGCCATCAGCATTGACTGTGTAGCGTCTGGACCAATCAGACACAATTTTTTTTTACATTTAGTCATTTTGCCGATGCTTTTATCCAAAGCGACTTACAATTGGGGAATACATAAAGCGATTCTTCTTAAAGAGGTGTTTAGAAGAAGTTTTAGGCATTGTTCAAATAAGTACAAGCTAGAAAAGGGAAGGAATAAATAAAGAGAAAAACATAATTTCTAAGATGAAGTCAAGTAGCGTTTAAAGAGATGAGTTTTCAGCTGTCGCTTGAAAATTGTCAGGGATTCAGCATTCCGGATAGGGGTGGGAAGATCATTCCACCAGCCAGGAACGGTGAACGAGAATGTTCTGAAAAGTGATTTTGAGCCTCTCTGTGATGGTACCACGAGGCGTCACTCACTAGCGGATCTCAGACTTCTGGAGGGGGATGTAGTGAGTGGAAGTAGGCGGGTGCTGAGCCTGTGGCTCTTCTATATGCAAGCATCAATATCTTGAATTTGATGCGAGCCTCAACCGGCAGCCAGTGCAAGGAGATAAAGAGAGGTGTAACTTGGGCTCATTGAAGACCAGTTGTGCCGCAGCATTCTGAATCATTTGTAGAGGTTTGATTGTACTTGATGGAAGTCCAGCCAGAAGAGAATTGCAGTAGTCCAGCCTAGAGATGACAAGGGCCTGGACAAGAAGTTGTGCAGCATGCTCCGAGCAGTCTTTGCAATGTGGTCTTTGAAGGTCAGTCTTTGCAAAGTGGTCTTTGAAGGTCAGCTGGTCATCGAAGATTACACCAAGATTTCTGACCGAAGTCGATGGGGTAATTGTAGAAGAACCTAGCTGGATGGTGAAATCATGCTGTAGAGTTGGAGTGGCAGGGAAGACAAGAAGCTCAGTCTTTGCCAGGTTGAGCTGTAGGTGATGTTCTTTCATCCATGCCGAGATGTCCACCAGGCAGCCTGAGATCCGTGCAGCTACTGTTGGATTTTTAGTTATATTTAACAAATACTCTGTAACACCCCTCAGTCAACAAACCAACTATGAGGGTCTATGGACCCTTCCCCCGAAATGCATCTAACACCTCAGAAAGGCAGAACAGGCCTCTGGTTCCATGGCAACCAATGCTGATATCACTGGTTTTATTGCCCAAAGGAATGTGGGCAGAGAAACTCACAATTCATTTACCCTTAGGAAAGACACACAATGCCCATAAAAATAGACTCTTCTCTAATTAATTCATATAAAAACCTTTCTGTGAATGAACACACATCTCCTCAGGACATTGTGTATACCATTACTGTTCTTGTATATTGTCTTTTAAATTGTATACTGTTTTGTGTGCGTGTAATGATAGCTCACTAGTTAATATAACCCCACCGATACCATGTTTGGTCTCTTTGAATTTGTCTTCTGATGATCTAAACGTAAGTGTATATTATATGTTGGTACACAGGCAATATATTAGTGTTCTAAGAATCTTTAGTAATTTTGCATCAACACCCAATCGAGTTCCATATGCAAATTACCATGCTCTCACACAAAGGGTCATAAAACTCTCCAGTATTTCCAACCTCCCGCTTGGAATTTCAGCCTTTCTCATTGGACAAGCCCAGCCTGAGAGGCGTGGATCTTCTCAGACCTTAAAAGGCTCACGCACAGTTCCGCCCATGTTGTTTTTTTCTGCTAAGTCTTCTGCTAAAACCTTCTGATTGCGGCCCGTGTGGAGAGCCTGAGCTGGTGCGGGCGTGCCCGGTGGGCTCCAACACATAGTCAGTCAGTCTGTGGTTCTGTTAGATTCGGAGAAGATGAGGATGTGAGCTAGAACGCTCCTGCAAACCTTAAGTCTGCTCCAGGCTCCGGCTTTGACTTTCCAGTCACCAAAGATCCTAGGATCTCAGCTGATGTCTCTCTTAGCTCTTTTTCACTTT